CAAAATAGTATATATATATATATATATATATATATATTTATAATCACCAATAAAAAAATTAAAAATAAAAAAAATTACTAAGAAAAATGTATCACATAAATATGGGCATTTGAAGATAAGTTATCACAAGAATAAGCATTTCATGGACTTACTTTATTCAGAAAAATAAAAAACTTGATATCATTTTTTAAGTCAATATTCATTTATAAAAATATTTTTGGATTTAACTCATCAAGTTATTTAATTTGACTAAAAATTTGCTGAAATCAGAGTTTCTGAATGACTCTTAATCGAATTTTGAATATTTTTTTCTTAAAATATGTATCAAGATCTATGACATGTCCTAAAATTCGTGTTAGATGTTAGAAATTTTATGATAGTTTAGTTATATTTATTGTGTATGAGTGTACCATATGAAGAACAAATTAAAATTTATATTATATTTAATTTGAAAGAAATAAAAACTTTTTGTATCATAAAAAAAAGTTTATTCTAAAACAATTTTTTTATTGAACGAGTGAGGCCAAATTAACATTAAAATAATCCTTTGGAAACATGCATGCAGAGGAGAAGGGAAAGAAAAATTCATCTGAGATTCATTTGAAAATTATTGTAAAGTGAGAAAAAGATTTTGAAAAATAGTTAAAGATTTGTCTATACGTTACGAGCCAAAAAAATTTTTGTGCGGACTGCTGACGTACCTCTACGTGCGGCAGAAATTATTTTTGAGTTATTTTCAGGTTATTTTTGAGTTTAATTTTCATAGTTTAGATGAAAGAGCATAAAATACCCCAGAAATAACCAAAAAATAAAAACTTTGAATTATTTCTGAATTATTTCGGTATTATTGAAAATAACCCAGAAATAACCTGAAAATAACCCATAAATAACTTCGACTGCACGTAGAGCTACGTGAGGAGTCCGCACAGAAAATTTTTTGGTTTGGTTAAGTGAATTTGTGGTGTACTATAATTCTTCTTAAACATTTTAGAAAAAATATAATATGTTTAATATAAAGAATTACAGATATATAACCTAAAGAATGAATTTGAAGTTTAGATCTTAGTTCATTCTCTCAAAATTTAGAATTTGACCAAATTTGAATCACCGTTAATGTAAAATGCTATAGGCAAAGTCGCTTTTCAAAGGTGTTTTTGATAAGGCTTTTTAAGACAATGCACAAATGATGAAATTTTTAAATGAATAAATAACAAATAATATGAATAATTTTTTTATAACTTAATATTTATTTTTTTATATTTATCACTAATAATTTAAAGATGATAAATAATAATAATAATAATAGCAGCAGCTTGCAGAACATAAAATGAAACTCATTATCATAACTTGTTTGTTACTACAACTCCACATCAAAATTTCAATTCCAACATTTGTAACAGGTAACGAAATTTGCCTTAAAATGCGTGCAGTGAAATTATAGAATGTTTAGTTCATAGAAAGGGAGTTCTTGAGACGATTGACTATGTGAGGGAGAACCCTTACGTTGTCCTCAATAGCCTGACTGACGCATGCCTCTAACTCACCCATGGCTCCACTCTTCATCTGCTGCAGCTTCGCCGCCTCAAACTTATCTTGACAGACCATCAGAGACCGGTTCAGCCTTTCCTAAAAAGCACATTACAACTCAAATATTACATTTCAAACCTTTTCATTACTACATCTTGTAAATATTTTATTGCTTTAAACGTTCCAATGAGCACAAAGTGAAAAGGATGCAAAGGGAATGGGTCATTTGGCTGTTTGAAGATGAGAAAACAAATGAGTTCACGAGTAATACTCTTATTCTGGGGCATTTGCATACATAGCACAAAGTGCTGTGTATGTAAATATGAAAATTTAGGTGTGAGATGTGTAAATAAATACATAAGAATCGTGTGCTACGAATGTAAATTACCCTTTTATTTTTCATTTCTTTTATGAGAAAATATAATCATCATGGACACAATCTTTCAAAATGTGTTTTCTGATTTCAAGCAACCAAATGACCCCAAAGATAGCAAAAATTTTTCTGTGTGGACTCCTGACGTAGTTCTACGTGCGGCGCAGTGTATTCTTGAGTTATTTTCAGGTTATTTCTGGGTTATTTTCAATAATCCCGAAATAACCAAGAAATAACCCGCGGTTATTTCTTGTTTATTTCGGGATTATTGAAAATAAACCAGAAATAACAGAAATAACCCGCAGTTATTTCTCAGGTATAAACCTGCACCGTACGTAAAGATACGTCGAGTGTCCGGATAAAAAATGCTCGCCAAAGATAGATATAAGGAGGCTTTACATTACCTGCCACATAATTCTTATCCATTTATATATATAACCCCTAAACTTTAATATTTAGGTAGATAACACAAGCATTTGATATTATACAAAAATACAACTCATATTACATTTTTAAAATGAATGCACGCTCTTCATGCGTATATTTTGATACTAAAGCGTTATAAAAATAAATATAAAACTAGTTCGTCAGCAGATTGGTAATTTCAATCCAAACCTTTTGATTACAACCAAAAATAAATTCAAGTTTCGTCTAAAAACTTCATGCCTCAATTCATGGCTGGTAACTATAGCTATCATCATCAGCAACCAAAATTAACAGCAACCAGCTTTTTCCTCTACAAGCTGCCTTCAATTGCAGATCATCGGAGGTCTCGTCTCCTTCCTTTCCTCTACAACCTCCCATCGAAACAGCAGGCAAAAGAATATTTGTATGCCGCAAAGAAGAAATAATGTATGTCCAGCCTAAGAATTAGTTGTAGAAGACTTGCAACGAGAAATTCATCGTTTAAAAGAAAGATTGGCAGTTATTGTACGGCAGGATCCTGGAGAGCGTGAAAATGAATCTGAAAAAGAGGTGATAGGTGAGGAAGAAGAGAACTCATTCCACCAAGGAGATTGGACGGATGAAGAAAATGAAATTCTCGAGGAAGGAGGTGAAAATTCATTTCATCGAGAAACCTCTGGTTTCAATTGGTTTGAAGATTCAATGTTGGAATTATCATCGATGCCCATGTACGAGTGTAAGACGATGACTATTTTTAGGCCTCGAATCGTGGATAGTGAAAAATTCTAAATATGCAGTTGATAGAAGAGCTGAGGGTGAAGATTCCTATGGTGGAAGGAATTTGCATAGTGATCAAACTAGAAGATATGTTGATTCTGCTTCTCTCAATCATTAGTATCAAACTAATATACATGATGATATGGAACAAGCATCATTACTTCAACAACAACTACGCTTCAAAGCTCAGCCGTTGCATTTTGGCCCTGATATGAGGCAGGTTGAATACCTTAGCAAGAATTGCACCTATTAGGCTTGGTTCTCAAGAAATTGATGTAGAGTGGATTGATATGCTTTAGAATTAGAGCTGGAAACCCCTTGATCCAGTTTCAACAATGATCATGTTAGAAGATGCTTGGATCACCAAACTTGATCCACCTGGGAAATAGAGCGACTCCATCACTTTCAATGTCTACGAGTCGGTTGCTCATTACAAATCAAATTCTAAGATTGCTCAATATGAGAAAACCTAGCCAACCACGAGAGAATGACGCGGGAACTAGCATTTTAATTCAGTTTATGTGTTTTAGTTTGTTATTTGTGTTTCTATATTTTAAGATAAATATTTGTAATTAAAAGAGTTTAACATTTACAAATAAATGTTGATTTATGTAGGCCGGGTAGGAGGATTTTCAGACTTGTGTTTGTTTTCTCTTTGGAGTTTTTTGTCCATCCAAACATTTCCATGTAGTTGTATCCTAGATTGACACCCTGATGGTATTTAGCCTTTATCTTGTTCTTCATGTTATTTACTGTTTTTTCCAGTTATTTCCACTATTCTTGTTGAAATTAGTAACTACCCTTTTTGGCTGGTATTAGTTAGGTTATCATACTTTAAAACCACATATTCTACAACTTATATTAGTACATTCATTTGATAGTTTAGACTTATTTTGATCAACATCTTATGACTATAAATATTAATCTCTCATAATCATCAAATAAATCATAAATTAAAAGTTTCTCCAAACATATGAAGCCCTAAAAAGATCATCAGGCAATATCTCTGGTATAAGTAAATGAAATTCACCATTTAGCATATACAATATATGCTCCACATATCATATTAGCATTTAAAGAAATAAATGTGTAAATCTCCACAAGAAAATTGATAGAGAAGACAAATAGTACTAGCCTTGGTCCCAAATGAAAGAGTTTATTAGTTATCTTCAATTTAGACAGACTAGCTTTTAAATCCTGAATAAAATGAGATGCCAATCAGCAAAAAGAAATAAAAACGGTGCCATAACACTACGCCTAATCCTTTAAGATCAGGCCCAAATCAACAAAACAAGATGAAGATCAACTTCAGAGAAAATATACCTGAAATTGAGCCATTTCGGTCTCCACAAGATTGTTGGCCTTGAGAACAGGCACACTGCAACTTTCTACACAACTATTTATTTCCTCTTGGCGTCGCCTCCTGTCGAAGCACTCGTAAGCGCATTTGAAGTATGATTGCTGCAGTTACAACGAAAACAAAGCCACACCCTCTGAATAAGCAAAGAACAGCAATGCTAGAGGGGAAACATGTCGGAATCTAACAGAACCCTAACTGAAATAAAGATACAGTTCAGGAAGCAAGATTGAGAAAGAACTGATACCTGAAGGTTGAAATTAACGTGATCTTGAATGGGTTGAAGCTGGTTCTGTGCTGCAGTATTCACTTCTTCCAGCTTCCTTCTTATTTTATCCGTCACAATTCGCTCTTCCATTGCCGCTATGTGATCCATCTTCTTCCCCGAACTTGGTTCGAGCGGGAAGAGAGCAGAATCAGGCTTTGGGAGTTCTTATTAGGGTTTGCGGCCAAGGGGGGCTGCCTTTTATAGTGCTCCACCGGAAGTCATTTTGGTTAGTTATGTAATTAATACAAGTATTATTAATATTTTGCATTTACATTTCTAACATTAAAATTTGCACTATGTAATCCTATAGAAGTGTATGCTTCCCGTGAGAGCCCTTCATGCATTCGCCAAGCCCGATTTTTTTTAGAACTTTTTCCATGGTTATTGACAGCAAATACCAATTCTGAGCTCCACCAACCTCCACAATGTTATGCTGAGGTCAATTGTTCGCACTTTCTTCTCCTGCTGCACCAATCCACCCTTTTTTCTTCTGAATCCCGTAGTAAGAAGTCCATGTGGCGGTTCATCTCGGTTTAAGATCATGAAAAGCTGCAGCTACAGAGGAGGTGTTAGCAATACTGGAAGCATGGCCGATGTTTTGGAGATCATTGGTCCTCTGGAGAACTTCCTTTCCTCCGATGCTATCATCTATGTGACGTTGCTGAGGAAATGTATCCGGTGTAAGAATTTCCTGATTGGAAAGTTGGTTCTTGCTCATTTGGTTAAGCTTGGATTCAAATCAGAACTTCTTGTTTCAAATGTTCTGCTGGATGTCTGCTGTAAAGCCGGGTTTCTGGATGATGGCTTAAAACTGTTTGATGAAATGCCGCAAAGGGACCTCATCTCTTGGTGCACTATTATCTCTGGTTTTGTGAGCCATGGATTTGATCTCAAAGCTTATAGTGTCTTCATCGGGATGCTTCAGAGTGGACTGAAACCCAACCATTTTGTAACTTCGTCTGTGCTGAAGGCTTCTGCAGCTGCAGGAATTCCGGAACTCGGTGTTTTGGTTCATTGCTTGGCTACAAAATGTGGATTAGGGTTTGATAGATTCGTTGAAGTCGGTCTGGTTTGCATGTATGCAAAATGCGGGTTTCTGAATGATGCAATCAAGCTGTTCTACGAAATTCCTGTGAAGAGTTCTGTTTCCTGGAACGCTATTATTTCGGGTTGTATTCAGAATGGTTATCTCATGGAGGCTGTCAAGATAAGCCTCGAGATGTGTCAGATAGGATTTCGAATGGATTTAGTGACTTTGAGGATAGTTATGAGTGCTGCTTCTGCCTTAGAAATGTTTGATTTTTGTAAGTTACTCCATGTTTATTCGATAAAACTAGGGTTTGATACTGATTCTTTTCTCGTTGCCGAGTTTGTGAGATTGTTAGCTATGCTCGGCGAAGTATCCTACATGAGCGAGCTCTTTAATGTGGTAAAGAGGCCTGATGTGTCCTTGTATGCATTGCTTATATCTGGATATCATCTCCATGGTTGCAGGGAAGAAGCTTTAAAGTTAGTAGAAGAGCTATTTGCTGTGGGTTTGAAGCCAACAGAAGGATATTGGATCACTATTTTAAATATTTGTGCTTCCAAGGAAGAAGGTAATCAAATCCTTGCTCTTATATTAAAAATTGGATTTTTATCATCCATTTCTGTCGGGAATGCTTTGATTTCCATGTACATTAGATGCGCCGATATGATTGAGGCTTATGGAACCTTTCTTAAGATTGAAGAACGCGATACTGTTACATGGACGGCAATCATGGCAGGTCTTACTCATAACCTCCAATACAGAGAAGCTCTTCTAACTTTTCAGGATTTCAGAAAAACCAAACTCCAACCAGACGAACAATGTCTGGCAACAGCTGTCAATGCTTGCACTGGTCTTAAAGCCATATATAATGGCAAAAAGATCCATGCTTTAGCTGTAAAACAAGGAGTTGAAATCTGTAAATTTATAATTGCATCCATTCTTCACATGTATGCAAAATGCTCTTATATAGGCAGTGCGGTAAGGTTGTTTTCGCTTTCATCCGCATCCTACGCCTGTGATTTGATTCTAACGAATATCATGCTCGCTGGCTATTGTTGGAATTCTCTGCCACTTATGGCTTTGGAGCTGTTTAAGAGGGAGAGCCAATCTGGACTGATTCCTGACCAGTTCACCATTTCTACCCTGCTTGGTGCTTGTGCTGACTTGAATACAATGACTGCAGGTGAGCAGATACATTGTTGTGTCGTCAAGATAGGATTTGAATTCTCCGACATTTTTGTTCAGAATGCCATTGTTAACATGTATTTAAAGTCCGGAAACATTGCCAATGCATGCAAATTTTATTATTTCATGAGGAGAAAGAACATTATCTTGTATGAAATGTTAATGGCGGGTTACCTACGCCAGAAGGGAGGAGAGGAAGCTCTGATACTTTTATCTGACTTGCGTCGAAGTTTCTTATGTAGCTGTTTAGTGGCATTTGCGATGGTCTTAAGAGCTTCTGCCAATTTTTTTGAGCTGCAGGTAGGTGAGGTTAATTTGTCAGAAAGATGTAAGGAAGATTCACATAAGTTGTCAGGAAATAATATTATTTCTGATTTTGATTTTGAAGAAAATTATGAATATGGTGGAGCGGAAAAAAGACATTTTGCACCTCTTGGTCTTTTCAAACAAGAAGGAGCAGATCAAAACTGTTATTTTGATGTGGATGGAATTTATTTCTATGAAGATTTTGTTTCTAGGTTGTGTAAAGCATCACCTATTCTCAGCCCTCTAGAAACTCCGAGATTGATTAGCTCACCGAAGCCAGCAGGCCTGGCCCCTTGAACAATAATAAATGGTGAAAGAAGCATTTTTGCAGATATCTGCATGTTTTGCACATAAATCCAAATACTTTTGCGAGTTATGTTATTAAAGTTGATGAAGATGAAGACAATAAGACGGGATCTTCTTATCCTTCTGGTTACTTTGCCAGGTTTCAATCTCTTGGACCACATTGATTAACAATTAAAGGGTCGTTGGGGATCATTTTTTATTTTTAGTTTTTAATTTATATTTTGTTTTATTTATGTTTTTATCTAGAATAATGCATATTTGGTATGCAAATTATTTTGAGTATTTTTAAACATAAAAAAATGTATCTTTAAAACAAAATATAAATACATACAAAAGAAGACACTAAACAAACATGCTTTTAAAATAAAAGCAAAAATAAAAACAGAAAACAACAAATAAAGTGATCCCAAATAAGCCTTAAATGTTTCAATTGCCAAATATCTTGGCTTCTTGTATTGAAAAAAGTAGCCATCGCCTCATTGATTTTTGCTTAGTTGATCTGCTAATGATTTATATGCGTGCTAAGCTTTTGAACTTCTTTCTTGGTTTCCAAAGCTAGGCATGGAAAGTTATTAGGGGGCATTTACATACACAGCACACAATTCTGATTTATTTACATTTCTCACACCTGAACTTTCATATTTGCACACATAGCACTTAAAATCTTTAATATCACGTGAAAAATAGCATTATTATCACTTTTTAAAAGTAAAATACACCTTTTCATTCATAAGTTTTAAGCACCACAAAGTGCTATGTATGTAAATATGAAAGTTTGTGTGTGAGATATGTACATTCATTAGAATTGTGTGCTAGGTATATAAATTTCCAAAGTTATAATTGATGACAAATTGGAAGAATATCACTCCTTTCCTTGTTAAGGAATCTATGATTTCATATTTTCTGGCATGCCTTGTGATAACAATCCAGATTAACAATGAGATTTTCTGTACTCCAGGTGATCTCTATGCTCTCTGGTTCATATTTAATTTCTGAACTGGTGGGTTCCTCCTGCACTCTTCACTCTGTGATTGCTACAAATGAAGGTTCGATTTCTTCTGATCATGGTTATTTATTTTAAATTTTAGGAAATTTACATACGCACCACACAATTCTTATGTATTTACATATGTAACAGTGTTATAAAGCTATGCATGAAAATGTGTATTTCACTTTTGAAAAGTATAAGTGGCATTTTTTATGTGATTGTTGAATCTGAGATTGTCCCATGAATCATCCCAAGAAATAGAGCATAGAAATTAGGGAATTGTGTAACATTTTATTCACGAAATGACCCTCTATTTATGGACAAAGAGGGTAAAAGAATTGAACTTACCTTTATAACTCTGCTTTAAGGAGGGGTGTACGAGCTATTCTAGGAATTATATCTCAGTGGGCCCAGGTGGCCTTGCCGTCCTTTGACCTTGTTGATTGAGGTTGAAGGGGCGAGATGGCTAGTATTGTCAGCCTTCTGGATGGGACCATCGGTTGGTCGGAACTTCAGGCTTATAGGAAACCAGTTGGATTTCTGAAGACGGTCGTTGAGGTTGATCCGGCCGACTGTTGTTAGCCAAGCGGATGAGTTGGGCCAGTTGGGTTTTCTAGGTCCCTTGGTCTTTTTCCGGTGGGTCCAACTTTGTCACGTCACTTTTTCTTTAGTTGTCGGATTGCCTTGATATTTGCACTGAGACATTTTTTTTGTACAGTGATATTAAAGATTTGAGTTATGCATGTAAATATGAAAGTTTTGGTATAATATATGTAAATTCATAAGGCATAAGAATTGTGCGGTATGTATGTAAATGATTCTTTGCCAATTTGCTCATCATCATCTTAAGGAGGCTTTGTAGAAGAGGGCATAATTGACTGCATAAGATAACATGTTGGTAGATAGCTGGAATACATCATTATGGCTAGAGACGTTTTTAAGAACTAATTGATCTCAAACTTAGTAATTTTATTGGCAATTAAGAGACTAAATTGCCACATAAATTATAGGATTAGTGGAGCTGTTGAAAAAGATTAAGGGACATTTACATACATACTATCCAATTCCTATGTAGTTACATATCTAAACGCCAAAAGTATATTTTCTTACGTATATCCCCCCAGAACTCTCATGTCACATCGAAAATATCACTGCTTCAACTTTAAAAAAGTGAAATGCACATTTTTATGCATAGGTAAGATGTCATGTATGTAAAACTAAAGTTTAGATGTTAGATATGTAAGTATAGAAATTAAGTGGGGGTATCTTTGAAATCTTCAAAATATTAAAAAATAATCATGTTATTATCCAACCAAGCTTCATCTAAGCCAATCACTTAGCTAACATTTTGGAACAATCCATGGATAGTTAGAATGATAAAAAAAAAGATTACAATAGTACATGAATAAGTGATTAGGTGGCTAATCATCCTTTCAAAGTAGGTTTTCCTGAACTTGTTGCTCTATCAATTCAGTTCGCATGTCGAAATTAGTCTGCAAACTAGTGACTAAGTGGTTCAGTTAGTTTTATATGAAAAAGATAATTTATGAATGGAAGAATAGGTGTGAAATATATAAATACATAAGAATTGTGTGCTAGGTATGTAAATATCCCTGAATTTTATTAGGAAGAATCGCATTCATAAAAATGAAGTGGATTTGCTTGATATTTTAAATTCTTCCTACAAGTTTAGGATTCCAGTCTTTTATTGTTCCTTAAAGATAACTGCAATCAATTTGTCTCATCTATGTTTTTTTTTTTTTTTTCAAAGATTCGCCGGAGGGCGGACCCCCAACCAACCCCATGTGACTTTTCAAGATTAGCCGGAGGGCGGACCCCCAACCAACCCCATGTGACTAATTCGAGGCGAGACTCGAACCCTTAACCCTCAGGGGTCTTACAAATGCTGCCAACCAATGAGCCACAATATCTCATCTATGCAGAGAGAGAGAGAGAGAGAGAGAGAGAGATGAAAACAAAGATTGTCAGCAATGCCGGCCTCTCTTTTAATCTTTTAAAAAAAATAGCGTCATTTACATTCATAGCACACATTTCTTATGTATTTACACATCTCATACCTAAGCTTTCATATTTACACAAATATCACTCAAATTTTTAATATCACATAGAAAATAACATTATTATCACTTTTTTAAAAGTGAAATATATATACTTTCATTCATAAGTTTAATACGTCGTAGTGTTGCACATGTAAATATGAAAGTTAGGTGTGAGATATGTAAATACCTAAGAATTTTGTGCTGCGTGTGTAAATTTTCCAAAATAATGAAGAGGAGGGCAGACAACTATTAAAATATAAAAGAAATTCTGCCGCCCTCATTTAAAAAAAAATCCATTGAGAAGCATTGAGAAACTGGCATGCCATAAACAATATCAATGGACAAAAACATAAAAAAAAAATTTATATAGATTTACACTTGATTGCTACGTTTCATTGTCACTTCTTGCTTCTTCTTGATCCTCTCTCTTTCACTCTGTATATAACACTTAATTAAATTTTAAATTTGCATATATGCCATACAATTTTTATGCATTTACATATCTTACGCCTAGAATTTGATATTTACATTTATGGCACATTAGTAGTAAAAAATTATGCATGAAAATATATATTTTGCTTTTAAAAAGTTAGTGATAGTGTTATTTTTTATGTAATGACAAATATATGAGTGTTATGTTATGTATGTAAATATGAAAGTTTAGGTATTAGACAAATATATGAGTGTTATGTTATATATGTAAATATGAAAGTTTAGGTGTTAGAAATGTAAATATATACAAATTCTTTGTTTGTATGTAAATGCACCTAATTAAAAAGCCTCTACCTTTCACCTCATTTCCTCCTCTCTCGCTCTCCCTCTCTCTCTCTCTCTGTCTGTCTCTCTCTCTCCCCTATGGCCATGATGGCAAGGATCGTAGGCAATGGAGAACCACCTCATTTCCTCCTCTCTCTCTCTCTCTCTCCCATGGCCATGATGGCAAGGATCGTAGGCAATGGAGAAATAACCTTAGTACTCTCTCATGGCTTTGGTACAAGCCAGGAAATTTGGGAATACGTGATTCCAAAACTTTCTAGAAGATATAAACTCTTGCTCTTTGATTGGAGCTTCTCTTCTGCTGCAGAGAGCCAACAACCAGAGTTCTCCTATGAAGGCTTGGCTAATGACCTAATTTCTCTCCTTGATGAAATGAAGTTGAAGGGAGTCGTCTTCGTCGGCCATTCTTTGGCTGGCATGGTCGGCTGCCTCGCCTCCGTCAACCGACCGGACCTCTTCAGTCATCTTGTTCTTGTCGCCGCCTCACCAAGGTTGGTGATACTTTCTTGCACGAATATGAATAAGGAGACACGAATACAATATGATAACTTACTTGAAAATATCATTGAGAAATTTACATACATATGACACAATTCTTATGCATTTATATACCAGTTTTTAATAGTGATTTTTTTTTTAATGTGATGTCAAAGATTTTAGATACGTAAATATTCAAGAATTGTGTAGTTTGTTTGTATATTCTCCAAATAACATTATGATATATGTTAGTATTCTTACTCTTAAACCATTTTGTACTCATTGATATCTTCGCACGGTTAGTGTTAGTGCATCTGTACTGGTACCGAGACACCTGACTATTTACATGGTCATTTTAGCCTCCGTGCCTATAAAAGCTCTTGTTAAAGAAGTCTGGGGACTAATTTAACATTTCTATAGACTTGGAGACTAACATGAACACCTAACAAGAGTTGAGAGACCATTTTGACACTTTTTTGGGTATATTTGTAAATGCTTCTTTTTTAAATCACACAGGTATATGAACTCTGAAGATTATGAAGGAGGATTTGACCATCAGAGATCCAACACATGCTGAGCAGCATAGAAACAGATTTCCAAGCTTGGGCTGATAGTTTTGCAGAATTGGTTCTGGGAAACAATCATTCCAACCCATTGTGGAAATATTTGCAGACTCTGAAATCCATGAATGCAAAAACTGCTTTATCTGTAGCTAAAATGGCCTTTAATGGCGACCAGAGGGCTCTTCTGGAGCAGGTGGAGCTTCCCTGCACTATAATTCAGTGCACAAAAGATATTGCTATGCCTACTTCTGTTGGATATTATATGAAGAGCAAAATAAAGGGGACAACTACACTGGAGATAATGGAAGTAGAAGGGCATTTCCCAAATGTCAACTCACCTCAAAATTTCATCAAAATTATTGATAAAATTTTTATTTGATGAGGCTCCGTTTGGGGCAGTTACAGCTTATTAAGAAGCTGTAGTGAAACTGTTGAAGAATAATCTAATATTGTAAAAAGCTATGGTGCTATTACAATATATTTTTTTTTTTAAGTCAAACCGCAGCTGGAAAGATCTCACCGCACCTTGCCAGGAGCAGTGGGAAAAAGTTGGTTTCAGGGGCAGCGGTGCGGATAAATTTTGCATTTTTTGCAATATTTTTCGTTTAGTAAAATCAAAATAATCTCCTAATTATTTGTATGAGATCATTTTATTCTCAGAATTAATGAAGTTGTTAAAATTGTTTTCAAGCTTTTTAAATTGGGGTTAATATGGTCCTTATTGGGGACTATTTTTACTTATATTAAAAAAATTTGGGGTTGAAGTTGATATTTTTATGAACTTGAGACTAAAATAGCACACCCTGCAAAGAGTCAGAGAGATTATTTTGACAATTTTCTCATTTTTCATCTGTATCTATTTGAAGTTGTGGCCGGCATTGGTTTGTGTGTTTTTGAAAGAAATTGTCTTTGTTATGAGCCTCAAGTTTTATATGATTATCTTTGAAATTATTGTGAAAAAACTGAGCTGTATATTTGCAAATATAAAGTGTTAGTGTTAGATATGTAAAGATATAAGAAATGTGTGGCATGTATATAAATGCCTTTTTTTTTATTATTTAAGTGTTGTTATAATCTGTGGACTTCTGTTATGTATCAATTTAGTTATTATTTTTGGGAAATTTATGTATATGTGATATAAATCTTATGTATTTATACATCTAATGCTTGAATTTTGATATTTAATATTTTTTATTTGATATCAAATATTTCAGTGGTATAAATGTAAATAATAAAGTTTAGGTATTCAATATGTAAATATATGAGCATTTGGGTTGTATGCAAGGTGAGGACTCCGGATCCATCATAGGAGGGGCGCCAAGTGTAAAGTGAACCCATCATAATACACTTTGATTGGTCCACTTTACACGTGTGCCCCACCCGCATTTGGGTTGTATGCAAGGTGAGGACTCCGGATCCATCATAGGAGGGGCGCCAAGTGTAAAGTGAACCCATCATAATACACTTTGATTGGTCCACTTTACACGTGTGCCCCACCCGCATTTGGGTTGTATGCAAGGTGAGGACTCCGGATCCATCATAGGAGGGGCGCCAAGTGTAAAGTGAACCCATCATAATACACTTTGATTGGTCCACTTTACACGTGTGCCCCACCCGCATTTGGGTTGTAAATCCAACCCTAAACTTTAACTTTTAAATATTCATAACACATAAAAAATACCGCCATTTTAACTTATAAAAAATAAAATTTATTTTTTCACCAATAGGTAAGGCTTCATGAATGTAAAAATTGAGGTTTGGGAGTTAGATATGTAAATACATAGTCATTGACTGGTATGTTTGTAAATCTTCCTTCAAACAAATTAATAAAACAATTTACACACTAAAATTTAGTCCAAGAACAAACTGATGCAAATGCAAACCGTTTGTTGGTTATTTAAATCAGTTTGGTGGCCATCAGACACTATTTTCACGTAAAATTTTGCACTTAAAATTTTCATACATAAAAAATAATCACGTCTATTAATCCAGATCATCGAAATTATTCAAATGTGTGTTAAAATTTACTAATTAAACCTATAGACTTGATCAATTAACAACAATTTATAGAAACATTTACACACTCATTAAAATTTAGTCCAAGAACCAACATCAGAAATGAGGCCCTGTGATTGCACAGCCTGAAGCAACTGCAGAACAGAATCAAGCTTTGGAGCTGTAGAAAGAGACTCATGGAGCTTATTTACTATTATTTGTAATTTGAAAGGATAACTATTTTTTACAAACTCAACATGCTTTGCAGCCATATTAATTTCTCCAGCATCTGCTAAGCTTTTCAACAGAATGATATCTGGATCACAAATTTCTATTCTGCCTGTAATACCATGCATGACAGTGGATGCACATGCATAATTACCTGCATGAAGGGGAGAAAAATTAGCGTCATTTACATGCATGCCACCCAACTCTTGTGTTTTTATATATCTAACACTTAAAAACTTTACTTTTAACCTTTATACCGCCCAAAATTTTTATATAACATAAAAAATACCACCATTTAACTTTTAAAGAGTGAAACACACCTTCTCATGCATAGGTAAGATGGCAATATATATATATATATATGTAACAATTGAAATTTAGGTCTGATATGTAAATACATAGAAATTGAGTGGTCTATAAGCAATTCTTACCACAAAAAAAACTCGAACCCACTAATTTATTAAACAATCTGCTGATAAGCTGATTAAAAATAATATACTGATAAGCTAGTTGCGGTGACAATTATAAATTTTTATTTTTTTGGAAAATTCGAACCACGGCCAGAAAACTGTCACCACACCTAGATAAGTGCGGTGTGACAACGTTGTTTTCAATGTTTTGAAAATGCATAAGCTGTCAAAACACAGTTCACCCAAATAGACATGATGCGTTTTCAAAAAGCCACTGCCCCAAATAAGCTGCCCCAAACGGAACGTACCTTCTCTGCAAAGTGAGAGAACTAAAGCACTCAACGTTGAACTGGCGAGCACAGCATCCTGTTCCAGACAACGACCGAATATCTCAAGAGCCTCACAGATCCTATTCTCTTCGCACAATAGCTTCATGGTTGAAGAATAAGTAACCTCATTTGGAACAACACCTTTCCTCAACATGTGTTCAAACAATGTCAGAGCCTCATTGGCTTCACCAACCAGCGAAAATTTCTTAATTAAGATGTTATATGTCATCAAATTAGCACAGCATCCATTCATAAACATCTCATCCCAGAGCTTTTTAGCCGGACGAAGAAGGTCTTCTCTACAAAGAGCTTCCAAAAGGAGGTTATAAGAGGAAATATTTGGCTTAAAGCCTTTCTTCTTCATCTCATTTAACACACCATAAGCTTCCTTGACTCTCCCTGCCTTGCAGAGAAAGGAAACCATCACATTATACCCTTTGACTTCTTTGAAATAGCCGTTATCCATGAAAATTTTAAATATTTCCCACATTTCATCACTCTTACCATCCTTGCATAAGCTCCTGCTCATATTTTTTAGAGCAAAAAGGCTCAAAAGTCTGCCTTTTTCAATCATGTACTTACAGAACATGACAGCTGAAGCAGAATCAGAAGCTGAAACTGATCCAATTAGTGCGTTAAGAACATCATCTTCTATAGGAAAATCTCCATTTACTATACCTTCAGCTACTTCCTTTGCCTCCAAAACTCTTCTTTCAGAAATCAATGAAAAGATGAAGTCATTGTAATCCTTAGCTCTAGGAGCCACTCCCAGCTTTCTCTTCTGCTTCAATATAGTTTCCATTTCATCAAACCTGTTCACTGATTTAAAGCCCTCTGACACAATTCTATAAGCAATGAAATCAGGTTTACAATCTCGCTTCCTCAGTCCTTCCAAAGCTCGCCAAGCATCGTCGATCCGACGAGCACGACAAAGACTGTCTGCAATCAAGACGGCAATGATTGAGCCATCAACTCGGCAGTTCTTTCCACTCTTAACTTTCTGTACTAAATCAAGAGTCTTTTCTAACTCCTTCACTCTTGCGAATTTCCCAATAAAACAGCCGAAACCAACGGTGCTAAACTGAATGCCAATAAGAAGCATTTCATCAAACAGTTGAGTCGCAACAAGGAGGAAGCCACGAGAAGAGAGTGCCGCAAGCACGGAATTGCAGAGCCTTGGAGGGATCTCATTGGCGGCGTGCTTGAGAATCTCGGCGGCTTCGAGAGGTTTGTCGGCGAGGAGGAGAGAGAAGGCAGCGAGGGTGATGGAGGGAGAAAGGAGGGGAATTTGTTGCGCATGTGCGAGCTTTAGAAGGGAGACGATGGAGTGAGGGCGGCTGGAGATGGATAGAGATTTCAGCAGAGAGTGGAAGGAGGAGGGGGAATGGGCGAAATTGGGTTGGTGGGAAGCGAAGTGGAAAAGTCCGGCGGCGAGGTAGTGGTGGTGGAGAAGGTGGGGGTCGATGACGGAGGCGACGAGCGTGGAAGTGAGAGGTGAGGTGGAAGAGAGGAAGGAGCGAAGAGTCTGTTCGACGGCAGAGCTCCATTGCTGTGAGGGCTTTGAGGCGGAAATGAGAGCTCGGCTCAGCTTACGGGCCACGGTGGAGATGGAAGGTGCCGCATGGCTCATTGGTGATCACCAAGAGAGAAATGTAAACCCAAAACCCTCAACTATTGTCATAATTTATATTTCATTTTTTTGTTAAGTTCCTAGTCATTACATGCCTTCAAATTTGATGAGTTAAATTTTCTATAATCTAAATTGAAGCTTTAAATAATAAAATATAATTTTTAATAAATTATTTTTTAATGGTTGATCGATTCGCTTTGACTCAAGTTTTGGATTGTCTACATTTCTCATCTGTCTTGCTGGTTTGTCGTCTCAGTCAAATATCTTTATTTGCAAGGTCTTAGACGAATTTTGTCGTTGTCAGTGTAGGGTATTCGATGATATATACTTTTCGTATGAATTACGTCTCTCTTAACGAATTTTATGGCTATTAGACAAGGGATCATCTCCAGAGTTTAGACTTGTCTCAGGTTTAGAGACCCAGCTTCACCTCCTAGAAGTACTGTATATACTTATGATAAATCATATATATTTTTTTATAGATCGTTCCTTTGAGATTCATTAAGGAAGGAGATAAAAATTGTATTTAACCTAATTTGTTATTAAATTATTTAACCAAATTTCAGCTTTCAGTAGATACGAATCACGGTAGCCGCCGACCGGCGGGCAGGGCTTTTCAGTATTCCGCTTCTCTTCATCGGCTACGTCTTCAACCCGACTAGGATTTTCTTCTTCTCTTCCGCGGCTCCATCCCCAACCCATTCGCAGAGAGATAGAGAGCGAGAGAGACAGAGAGAGATGACGCAATGCGTCGATGCCGATCTTTCAACCAGGAGGTTTCGTGAACGAGAACTCCACACCATACCGATCTCTTCCAGTTTGTTATACGAACCTCGCTATTCTTACTTCTTCTTTCTCTGTTATTCTCGTTTAATACTAAAGAGTTATTAGGGTTATCATTTTCATATGGTATCGATTGGAACGCAGGCTGGTTTAAGTGGGACGAGATCCACGAGATAGAGAGGAGATCGCTGCCGGAGTTTTTCGACGGTGGATCTTACTCGCGGAGCCCTAGGGTTTATAAGGAGTACCGGGATTTCATTATTAACAAGTACCGCGAGGATCCATCTAGACGTGTCACTTTCACGGAGGTTCGCAAGTGTCTTGTCGGTGACGTTGGCACTCTCCGGAAAGTTTTCCTTTTCATTGAGAAATGGGGGTTGATCAATTTTAGTGTGTCTAACGGGAAGCAGCGGACAGAGGAAGATGGTGGGCCGGTTGTAGTGGTGGAGATTGGCCCTGCAGCTGGATTGAAGGTGGTGCCTACGGGGCCTGTTTCGTCCTCTACCTCCTCTTCTTTGGCTGACGCAACGCAGATTGGAGGAGAGAGCGGCTTCAGGCTGCCGCCCCTTACTTCGTATTCCGATGCTTTTGGGGAATGGAAGCCTGCTAATGGCCTTATATGCGGGTTATGTGGAGATCGCCATCGTTCTGGATTGAATGAATCATTCAACGTACGTTCTGATTTTCTTATTCTATGTTCTGTTCATTTGTCGTATGAAATTTGTAGGTTTGATTTGTATGAATAGAAATCCATTTGAACTGATTGGCCTTAAAATAGCCATAATCTAATTCAATGTATTATAACATAGTAATAAGAGGACTGTTCCTGGTTAAGTGGAAAGGAGAATGAAACGGGAAGACAAAATATCTGCGAAATATGATTACCGTATAGAACACCAATCTTGTGTTTGCTTGTGATTTAGGATTTATATTTCTGAACGATCATGTATGGCTCTAGACATTCTTATTCATACGTAATCTCCACTAAAAGCCGAAGACAATGAATGATGGCAAACTACTGGTTTGTTTATGGCAATTCATCATACCTTATTTATGTCATTTCAATTATTTATGGGATAGTTCTAAGCAGCAAGATACATGCTCATAGAATATGGATGGAATTTCACTATCAAGTGGTTCGCTGTATGACCATCGTTAGATCCAGAGAGGGTTGGATATGCAACAAGACCAATCAAGAGAAATAACCATACATGTGATTTTAATGTATCCCAAAGAAAATTATATTCTCATGTGTATCTTTTGGCCAACAACAAAATAGCAAGAGGTCTTATTCTAGGGCTAACTCCAATTTGAACTCATATTTTCTGGTTAAAAATTTTTCAACTTAAGGAATACAATAAAAAACAATTTGGAATATGTATGTTAGATTGGAGTTACATCTTACCCTACCAGAAACTCTATAGTTTTATCTAAAGCTTGAGTACATACCTTATCATCATCAGAGTTCTAGATCTCTTGAACTTGATTAGGATGACCAACTCTTTGTGGTTCTAGAAAATCACAAAAGTGGATAGAACAATTAATTTTGTCATAATTTATAAGTTAAATGATTCGTGATCAATGCCATATTTATTGGAGTAAAACAACGTGACATTTGAAGTAGTAAAATTTTTTTGCTCCAACCCTTTATCCAATATTTTAGTCTTTTTGTTGAACTACAAAAGGCACTAATCACAATCTTTGTAAGCTTAATTTTGGGATAATGATGTTGTATACTTTGGAAGTCAATAAATGGAAGCCAATGCTTGTTTTGGATCACTCCATCTTAAGACGACAACAAGATCAACAAATCTCACTTCTCTCTAAATCACAATGATCATCTTAAGAAGGTGGCGATGACATTACTTAATCTCACTTCTCTCCACCCGAAAATGAAAATAAACAACTACCAAATCCTTAATCTCCATACGTGGGGTCGGCTACATGAATCTTTTTCCTCCATTGCATCCTATTTAGTGTCATATTTTCATTTAGTTCTAATAAATTAAGATCATTTTTTATACAATAAGCCCAAGTCTTCCTAGGTCTAATAAATTAAGATCAATTTTTTTATAATAAGCCCAAGTCTTTCTAGGTCTACCTCTGCCTTTCTTAAGATAAGTCAAATCTAAAACATCTACTCTCCTAATCGGATCATTAGATGGTCGATATTTAATGCGACTAAACCATCTAAGACGACTTTCTCTAATTTTGTTCGTCACTGGAGCTACACCAACCCTATCACGAATATATTCATTTTGCATTTTGTCTCTAAGTGTAAAGCCACTCATCCACCTAATCATTCTCATCTTGGCAACACTTCACTTAGTATTATGCTCTCTTTTAAAGGCCAACATTCAGCGCCATAGAGCATTGTAGGTCTCATCACTGTCTTATAAAAATTTTCTTTTTAGTCTAAACAGTACTTTTTTATCACACAAAAGGCCAGAAGCATTCCTCCATTTCAACCAACCAACTTGAATTCTACTATTAACATCCCCGTCTATATCACCATCGCTTTGAACAACAGACCCGAGATAACAACCATCGCTTTGAACAACAGACCCGAGATATCTAAATCGTTCACACCTTTTAATAATTTGATCGCCCAAAGTTACACTTCTGTCACTAGATCTACGACTACTAAAATTACATTCTATGTATTCAGTTTTAGTTCTACTCAAATGAAGGCCTTTAAACTCCAATGTAGACCTCCATAATTCAAGTTTTTCCTGGGTTTTTTCTCTTGACTTATCCACAAGAAGAATATCATAAGCAAAAAGCATACACCAAGGTACATCCTCCTGTAAATGTCCAGTAAGACCATCCATAACTAAAGCAAAAAGATATGAGCTTAAAGTCGAACCCTGATGTAATCCAACAAAAATAGGAAAATATTTGGTTAATCCTCCTTCAGTTTGAACACAAGTAACAGCTCTAATATAGATATCTTTAATGACTAGAATATAAGTCATATCAACACCTTTCTTCTCAAGAACGCTCCAAAGGACATTTCTTGGAACCTTATCATAAGCTTTTTCTAAATCAATAAAAATCAAATGTAGATCCTCCTTATTATCTCTGAACTTCTCCACCAAACCTCTCAATAAATGTATAGTTTCCATGGTAGACCTGCCCAGCATAAAACCAAATTGATTATGAGAAATCTTTGTAATACATCTTAACCTATGTTCAATTACTCTCTCCCTTAATTTTAAATTATGACACATCAACTTAATTCCTCTATAATTTGCACACTCTTGTGCATCCCCTTTATTCTTAAAAATAGGGACCAACATACTCTTCCTCCACTCCTTAGGCATCTTTTTAGTTTTTAAAATAATATTACAAAGTTTGGTAAGCCAAGAAACTCCTAAATATCCTAAATATTTCCACACTTCAATTGGAAAATGAAAATAAAGAAGAACAAAAATTGAGATTGACTTTAATGGGTGCATTAAACTAAGGAGTGGAGCCAAATGGCAAGCTAAACTAAAACCTTCTTACTTTATATTCATGCCAACAAAAGCAAACAAAACCAATTCTAAGGAAAGAAGGGTTTGAAAGTTACTTAAGATAATGAAACTCTTAAGATTCGAGAGAGAGAATTATCTCATATTCAATGTTGATTTGTAGGCTCTACTTAGACAAATCTCACATCACATGATTGTTTACATTAATAGGTACATCATTATTAGGCTGGTCAGTTTTGGTTGACCCACCATCCATATCAATTTTTCTAAGCTCTTGGGGTATTGTCTTCATTATTTAAGATATTTATTACATTTGGGTATTCTATGAATGTTTTGGAGGGGCTTATTGATTAAAATTCATAGATTCACTAAAGGTTCTCTAAGGGTCTGTTTAGGACAGTTGCAGCTTATTAAAAAGCTGCTACGCAGGTGTAGTCTGTTTGTTTTTTGCAATTTTAAAACAGATGTGTTGTAGTTGTTTCTGAAAAAATGACATTTCTACCCTCGTACTATAATGATGTTTATAACATAAATTTTCATACTAAGCACATTTCATACTTGAAAGCAAACATCAAATTTGAGCATTACAAAATCAAAGTAGACACCTCACATAACTGTAACATGACCATCAAAATAAAATGATTATTAAAATAAAAATTAATAATATGATAACATTGTTTTTAAAATGCACTTGGCTTGTGTCACAAGATAAGTCATCCTCCAATGAAATTCGTCACGCCCGATCATTATCAGCTGTCGATTCCTCAAACCCATCTTCTCACCTAAAGAAGTCACAACTTTCTTGTCTTCTCGTACATCTGTAAAATTATTTCTCGTAGTTATGTGGTTGTCACGAAGTAAACATGGAGTATGATAGCCCACCTACAGTAGCAGTACAATGCACTGGAGGTACCAGAGTTCATTTTTTCTGAAGGTTTAAAACAACAGAGCACAAATTCTTAGCAATGCGAGCGAAAAAAATATTATAATTAACCAATGCAAGTTTTACTAAACCATCAGGTCTTAGAGAACATAGCAGAAATTAACGAATTTGTCGCTACAAAAAGACAACAGACCTTATAAAAAAGTGTATTTTATTGCCTTCAAAACACGTAATGTTGAGCTCGTATGTGTCACATATGCATATCACAAAAAAAAGTCATTTAGAAGAGCCTAAAAAACCCTAACATTGAAAAAATGAGAGGAAATTAGTTGTTTTTATTGGGATTTCACATATGCAACGAACCAATAGCGACATATAGGCCATCACTGACCTTCAAAAAACAAAAAATAGACATGCAATAAATATTTATTTAACATATTATATCCACGATTGCCTCGACCATTCAGGTGGGAGGTAATACATGCAAAAGAGCGAGAAATAAAATTTAGATTCAAAATATAGATGATTAGACAAAAGATTAATATAATAAATGATAAAAGCTTTCACCACCCATCACAAATAAAGTAGCAAGAAGAAAAACAATACAATTGGTCTATTCATCAACCAACGATGACGTCTATAATCTACTCTCTCAATTCAATCATTTCTCCAATATCTTCAACATTCTGGGTGTAACTCTTAGGTAATTCTACTCCTGTCTGTAAAACAATATTGCATGAAGGTTGTCATCGAATATAGTTGTGGAGAGTCATTGTGGCCACCACAATTTGCAGTTGCTTCGGAAAAGGATGTCGGCATATCACGCTAGTCATATGCAATCTCTATATGTGTCCTCTCAAATATTAGCTCATCTGGCTAGATAAATTTGGATGATAAACTGATAAGGGAATTCAACTCAACTAAAATGTATTTGCTGATTGTCTTTGATGAGTGTTGAAATCACTCAATTGTTATTCTCATAAATTCATTTTGTGATAAAATATAGATAGTTATTGTTAACCCTTCTCTGGAAGTCATTATGGAGGAGCTTTGAAGTTCATGATTCCTGTGTAATTTGTCTAAGAGATTAATAAATACAGACTGTGACATACGAAACATTTTGAATCTTGTTGGGTGTCCTATAAGTAGGGCTGTCAAAAAAGCTCGTTGTTCGATGACAGTTCGTGTTCGGCTCGTCAGAGAGTTCGTGTTCGATTCGTTCGATAAGCAAACGAGACGAACACAATTATTTTTTTTTTTCGTTCAGTTTATAAACGAACCAAACAGGAACAATCATTTGTTCGATCGTGTTCGAATTGTTATTGTTTGAAATATAAAATAATTTAATATATATATATATATATAATTTATCATATTTAAAAAATAATTATATACTCTAAAAAGTTATCATATTTTAAAAAATTAAATCTTATGAATTATAATTTGATCTTCAGGTTCGCCTCTTTGCTTATATTAAATTTTATAATTTCATGTTTATCTTCAGGTTCGTCTCTTAGTTTAAACTTTCTTATATTTCTTTTAAATTTATTTAGTTTCTTTGAGTGAAGCCTAATTTTTTTAGACTGAAATCTTGCATATTACTCGTGGATTTGAATTTTTTATGGATGAGATATAATATTATAGTTTTATTGTGAGATATGTTTCGGCTATTTTGCATTTGTGTTGTGATTCATACAAGTTTAAGCATTAATTTCATATAGGTTTAAACTTTTGAAAGATTTCAAACAATTCAAACAATACAACAATACAAATAAATTTGTGAGATTTCAAACAATTCAATTAATTCGAACAATTCGAACATTTGAAACATGTTTCAAACAAATCAAACTGAACACGAACACGAGCTTTGTTCGTTCGTGTTCGGTTCATTTACACCCCTACCTATAAGCAACTTACCAACTCATTTATCACCAATGTAAGATAATGTCATACAAAAAGATCGATCTACGTATGAGTTGCACTCATATATCAAACACACCGCAGCTGCAATTCTTCTTCTGCGTCTCTCACTTTGTGATCCATTTTAAGTAAGTGCTCTATTTAGGTAACACATAAGAATCACTTAATCAAATAGTATCACAACATTCTCTATTAAAACAACAATCATAAATGAACTTGGAAAGGCAAATAACAAAATGTACGATAAAAAAACAAACATCCAAAGGAGGAGTAATAGTGTCTTCAAGAAAAAGAAGTAACATCCAAAACAGAAGCCAAATTAACCTTATGGAAAACGAATACAAATAGTCCAACGAGAAATGAAGGAATTCAAGCGTCCTTGCTATCATAAAAATAAGGTAAATAATTGACCATGCAATCAGGGGTCATCGTTATAAATAATTTACGGGTGGGGTCTTCTAACAACTTCATGGATAACAAATATAACAACACGCCTCATAAATTTATGGAATTGCCTCTATAATTTGCATAATTTGCTTGATGGAAGTTGCTTGTAATGTCCAATGGTCATTAGTGCACGAAGCCCCCGGTTATGAAATTTGGTTTTGTCCTACGAGTGGATTCAACTCGAGCGCACCCAACGGAATATCCAAGTTGACCTCACTTGAGAAGCGCTAGTTCAAAGTGGAGAATAGGTGGAACCAATCTGCATTCTCAAATTTGCTACAGTTAGGAAGTATTTCAAGTGCCACAAATTTGAGCATATTGAATTAGATTGCCCAACCAAGAGAATAATTTCTTTCACTGATCAGGAAACAGTTGAAAAAATAGACAATGACATAGTAGAATATGAGGACGCAAAGGAAGAGCACCAGATTCCAACTTTCGAGGGAGAAAACACGTAATTCAAGTTTAGCCCATGGGAGACACTCCAACAGAACTAACATTGGTGGCAAGTCAGTCTTAAGTTCAAGGAACCGATACCAGATACATGAAAATCTTAGATGAGAGATATATAGTCTACTTCTTGAGTTGCCCCTACTGAGTGAGTTACAACATGTCAAAGATGAGACTCTTCTGCGCTACTTCTAGAAGTCTATATGAAGTCATTTGGGTGTTAGAATCAGTTTAATAGTATACCCACCGACAAATAATCAGACATGATGGATGAACCACTGCGTTGGAAATTGCCTTAGGATATTTGGGAACAAGAACATTCTACAGCGGGATCAATTATCTTTCCAAGAATTAAAAGATACATTTTTTAAGTGGTTATGCTTCAGTGTGGCCCAATCTTCCATTGATGTCATTCCAGAGTTGATTCTTGTTGACAGGCTTGTTTATTGGATAAATGCAGTTGAGTATGAGGAGTGAGAGATGAATACTATAAATTTATTTGCTCAGGATTTGACTTGTTGGAATCTACGATGATATAGTGCTCTAGCTCAAGTTGTACCAAAGGTGGATGACTGTGCTTTGGGATGACAACGCCGACAAAATTGACGTGTTGGGAGCTTGTAGCATTCTTGTTACCTTCAACGAGGTCGATCTGACTACTATGAGGAGACAAAAGCTTTGACGTATGGGATCAAAATTCCCCCAAACAGGGGAGACTGCCGCGGCTGTCAACTTAGCGGGCTCGGAAACGCCAAGTAGCGGACGCGTGAGTCGTGTCCCGCTCCTGGACTGCACCGATCCAGCATTCTGATGGGCTGGCCAACCCTCCAAGCTAGTGAACCATCAGCCAATTGGAGTGGGGCCCCTCCCTTAACTATCTAGGGCTTATATAATTGATTTTTGTATTTTATTTTTTCAGTTTTGCTGTGTTTTTAATCATGACAGCAGCCAAAGTCTTCTGTTTTCCCTCCTCGGACTTTATCTGAGGACGAGTGGTCTTCTGGTTGTATCTCTCTCCGAGATGGTGATTCACTTTCTCCTCCCGCGACCTCTTTTTTGTTGCCGCCATCCCTCCTATTTACAACTGTCCTTTAACCTGCTGGGTGGTTTCCCTTCAACCACAATTCCTCCATCCGTCACCCACAGGCTAACTGCTCTGTGGGAGTTCCAACTGACGAGCCTCACCCTTCCCTATTAGATTCTCACCGTCAACCTTCATCCCTCCCCTGCTGTTATCTAGTAGCCAACCGTCCTCCAGCTGCCTCTTCAATCTAGTTCCCCAATCCCCAACTTGCTGCCCTGCAGACTGCAGTTCTTCAGCCATCCATACCCTTTACATCCACCATCCTCGACCTAAGCCATAGTTTAAGTCTGTGTTGTGTTTTTTTTTTGTCTTTATTCTTGAGTCCTTTGGCTGTAACCTTTAGTTGATTTCAGCAATAATATTATTTTTGTTTGGGTTAAGTCAGGTATCAATAATATTGCAGTTACTTTTATTTATTTTTTATTATAAACCTATTTTTCCCTCGCACACAACCAAACCCCATAGAAAAATTGAGGAATACAATTACCTGATCTGTTACCGTAAATATATGTGGAATTGATAATGAAAACATTTCTACTATCAAGTTTACTTTTTCTATTAATATGTGTTTGAGTTTATTTATTCTTGTTTTAATTTGTTGTTGATTTTTGACGTTGATCATAAGTTATTTTGTTCAATCTGTTGCTATTACCAGGGCGGTATTGCAATGTGCTCAAAATGCCGGACTAATGAAACAATAAATGGAAAAACTGATGTACATTTGACGCCCCCAAATGACCATGCCGATGTAAAAGATCAATCATCTCCAGTGTGGACTGACACAGAGACTCTGCTTCTTCTTGAAGCTGTTTTGAAGCATGGAGATGACTGGGATCTTATTGCTCAACATGTTCGAACTAAGAATAAACTTGATTGTATTTCTAGGCTTATACATCTGCCTTTTGGCGAGCATATGTTGGGAACTATCAGCGCAAAATCTAGCAGTACAAACTTAATAACACCATTAGAGGAGTACAAGTCTAGCTTGCAGGTTTTAAATGACAATCCCCCAGTGTTGACAGAAGCAAATGGTGACAGACCTGTTGAGACAGAGGGTGCAGAGATTGCTTTCCAGGGCCATCCTTTGAAGAGAAGATGCTTTCCACCGTTCACTGATACTCCAGACTCATTTATGAAACAGGTATGATTTGTTTTGTCATAGTTCATGTTTTCTGGCTCACGTTTATTGATTTATTTCCTTCTTATCATACCTTTTCTATGTTAGGTAGCATCATTGTCTACAGTTTGTGGCCCATATGTTGCTGCTGTTGCAGTGGATGCTGCTATCAGGGCGTTGGGCCAAGAGAATCCATCTGCTAGGTTGGTGTTCGAAACTAATCGAGATAAATTTTCTATACCTGTTTCATCTCCTTTTAAAAATGAATTCAAGAGGTTGGTATATTTATATACTAATTATTAGTTATTTCTTTTAACTGATATTTCCAATAAAAAGTATTCCAGCTGTGTTGTTCACCTTTTTCTGTATTTTTTTTTCAGTGATATCAAGGTTGAAGATGGGGATGCCAAGGGAAATAAGCAAGCAGGTAGCAATTGATGAATTTATTCTCTTTTTTTTGAGTTTATTGGGACTTTAGTAACGATATATTTTCTTGTTTTCCTGTGAATAAGAATCATTATGTTTGTTAATAAGAATCACTATGCTAATATTACTAGATTAGTCTATTAAAAGATGGGTAAATATCATATTTTTCACTACCTGTGATGTTATTTTTTTTATTTATGAGAAAGATGGGTAAATACCGTACCCATATTAATAGGAAAGGAACTAGTCTATGAGCAAGTCCTGGCTGAACCTGCCAAGCTATCTTTCATACCTATGGTCTCTATATGTGTCTTGATCTCTTAGTCTGTTTTAATTACCATGAACTGCCCAGAAGAATTACCGAGAGAGGATATCAAACTATAGAGATTTATCATTCCAATAAATATCGTTAAAAGCTTTATTAGTTCTGACATTTCAAATGATCTTGATTACATCAAAGATGATACATAACTGGCTGTTTTTAACTTGAGAATTAATATATTTGCTCCTCAAAAATATTAAAAAATAAATCCATCATGCTATCCGGCGCAACAGTAATAATAAAAATATGAATATTTGTCCAAATATTAAAAGATCACTTACAAAGATGGAAAAGGTGAATGCCATTATCCTTCATGAATATTTCATATCATACATATTTAGCTTGAGCATGCATATAAAAAGGACACATTTATAAAGGGGGTGTTCTATTAAGAAGAATTCAACCAAAAACTGTAGTCAACGATTATTTGATTTCAAGCAATCCAATATGGGCATGATATGCAGTATTAATCTTCAATGATAGCCAACGACTATCATTTACTGTCTAATATTTTATGGATCAATCTACCCATTAAGGCATAATTGAACAGCAAGAGACTTAAAAATTTATAATCCGTCTATTATTTTTGGTCTGCAACAATATTTTCAGTGCGTTACTTGTCTTTGTTGAAGAAACCCATTCTTATGCTATCCTTAGAAAGAGGTGGTTGAAAAGCTGATTTATTCATTCCCCTAATGGGTATTTATATGCAAAACAACCTAGCAAATACTTGAAAATTATTATTATAATGAATTTAAGAATTAAAATTATTATCCCAAACTTTTTTATGTTAAGCATATGAATTAATGGGACATGTTTTCCCTTATTTAGCATATAAATTTGTTGTCTCCTTTCAGTTCTCACTAAGCAATCTTAGTACTTTAATTACTCCCCTTGAAACTAGTTGGTAGAGATTTAATATTTTAAAATTGCTTAAGATAGTTTTTGAATTCAGGGTTGTAAGATTTCTTGGTAAATATGGAATACAAGTTAACTTTGTAATTTCTCTTTTATGAAAAGCCTATTAATTTTTACATTTTGTTTGATCATGTTGTATTAGATTGTGAGCAAAGTTGATGCGAGGCTTTTTATCATATTATATCCTATGGGTCATTTTAATTTAATTTTTGAATCTTATTGTTTAATTTTAATCAATAGGAGTTTAGATATCTTGAGAAATTTTTTTGAATTTAGATCTATCACTTGATCTTGAGACAACAGATTGTTTCTAGCTTCTCCATGTTAGCAAATTTCTCCCAATAGCTTGCAATATCCTAAAGTCGATCTTTCATATATTGGTGATGTCACATAAGCAGCATCAACATAACCTTTGTTTTATATTTTTTCATGTATTTTCTTAAATTTTTTTTTTTGTTTGATGGAGAATCCCTTTTTTGTGATTTGATTTTGGATGCCTGAGAACTCCAGATGCTTGAAATTTTCTTTTATTTGTGCTTGGATGGATTTTTGGATGTCAAGACAGCCATGAGATAGATTAGCTCCCAACCAATTGTTGATATTGTCCAAGTCAACTTGTGTTCTTTCTTCTTCTGCTCAAATTTTAACTTTGTTTAGTTGGTGTTTCGCTTAACTTGCAATCAATCTTTTTATTTATTTTTTTTCTGGTAATGATGTGAAAGTATGTAATTGCTATTTGAGTTCATGCTATCATTTAATACAAGTAGATTTGTAGCGTATTTTATTTCAAGTGCTCCATGCTATAATCTAGTTGATTATAAATTATATTTTGGAAGATATATATATATATATATATATATGCCACTCAATTCCTATTTACATGTCTAACATCTAACACCTAAACTTCAATTTTTACATACATACCGCCTTACCTTTGCATGAAAAATTGTACATATTTTAAAAGTTAAAATGGTTGTTTTTGGATGTGATATGAAAGATTGGGGTTGTATAATAAAAACAGAATTTTGGTGTTAGATATGTAAATACATAGGAGTTCCAAATATTTATGTATTTATATATCATAACTAACTTTTATTATTATTATTATTTCTGTCTCTATTATCTCTTAAGCTCGTGTCCCCGAAAAGAGCTTTGGTGCGAGAACCTTTCAAGTCAGAGCAGCCATTGCAACATCTATGGCTGCAGCGGCTGCTAGAGCAAAGCTTGGAGCCGATCAAGAGGAGAGGGAGATGGAACTACTTATGGCATCCATAATTCAAGCGCAGGTATGTTTCTATCATATGTTTCTAAATTGGCCATAGGGATCTTATTTTCTCAAGTGAAAAAAAAAATTGGTCTGGATATTCTAATTCAATTCTCTTTAAGATGGGCTTCAAATACTGACAGTGATATTTCTATTATATTTTTGGGGCATTTACATACATAACATCCATTTTTTATCATATATAACAACTAAATTTTACCTTTTACATTTATACCATTCAGTTTTTCATAACACATAAAAAATAACATTACCAACTTTTAAAATGTGAAATATGCCTTTTCTTGCATTGGTAAGATGGTATATATGTAAAAAATTAAAGTTAGAGAATTGAGTGTAATCTGCATAGATATGTATGTGAATCTCTCTATTTTAAAAATGTTAAATCACTTGATTTTGATTTGCATCGATACAAGGCCAATGATGTTTGCTGCGAAACCTACAACAAAATATCATGATTTACATGCAATCTGCAAGAAAAAAATGTTCATCATATAATAATGTGAAAGGGAGACTTCCAACGAATACAGTAATTTAAAAAAAGGATATATATATATATATATATATATATATATAGATTTTGAAGAGAAACATACAAGTAAAATATAATTTTATTGGGTTTCATAGCTGAAGAAACTGCAGTACAAGATGAAGTATTTGATGGAGGCAGAGGCGATAATGGAGAAAGAGTTAAGCTACGTGCAGCAGATGAAATCATTGATAGTTGAAGAATGGATGAATCTGCTCCAGAAATTATTTCATTCCGGAACTCTTCGATGGGGCGACCAAGGTTTCCCAAAGCCCTTAATCCATAGCTTCTCCACTCGGGGGTCCAATTTTTGAGTAAGTTTTACTTTATATATATTCTATTTTTATGATATTAATTGCTTCACAATGAAATGTTTTTATCAAAATTTGAATTCAGATGTATATTATAACCATCAAATTGATTTCAATATTAATTTTAATTAATTGCCATTTGCATGTGCACCGGATAATTTTTATGTATTTGTATAATCTAACACTTTAAAAGCTTTCATATTTACTTGCATGATACTAAAAATCTTTAATATCACATCAAAAATATCACAAATATTTATTTTTACAAAGTGAAATGCACCTTTTCATGTATGGCCAATGACACCAAAGTATTATAAGTATAAAAATTTAAGCTTTAAGATATGTAAATACATAAGAATTGCATGATATCTATCGATATATCATATTCATCTAAAGAAGTTTTTTTTAATGCCTTTAAATGTTGAGAAGGTGGGGCTGAAGTATTGCTTGTTGGATATTACATTCTGTGAGTAAACAAATGTGTTGAATTCTTTTGGAATGTTAGTCCCGTTCCCGTATCATTTATGGGTTCATACAACCTTGGAGAGACTGGTATAGAGAGAGTGATAGAAGAAGATGGAGGTGTCCCCAAGGCTTGAACCCTTTGATAATCCTCCTTTGTTAGATCAGAGGAGATGATCATCTATCACTAGAAATTGTTGATTTGAAGTTCAGAGAGCGGACTGCCGAGTTGGAGGCGAGATTAGAGGGAAGCATAAAGATCTCTAATGAGAATCAACGAAAATTTATCTCTCACCCTTTCTAAAACCAGTCGCTTCCACAGATGATACGGGGTCCAAAATCCCAAAAAGATTCAACAATATGTGCAGTTTCAAGCTAAAATTTTAAATGATTGGATGGCTTCAGATGTGGGAATCAGCTAGCTATTGGAGACGCAATGTAATTGGGTGGGAGTGATTCCTGAGGTTCCCATCTGGAAGAGCCAACGAGTATCCATTCTGAGGTACCCCTAATTGTTCCATGATAAATTTTCGAGTATCCATTCTGAGGTACCCCTAATTGTTCCATAATCATTATGTTGGTTGGCAGTGAAAACAAATAAAGGCTATTAATCAAATAATTTATCATGTAAGGGCTTTCTAAAGGCTGTGCTATTCTCCATCCTTTCTTTTTGTGTCAAATTCTTTTTTCTTAAAAAAAAAAAGGAACAATTTCTGAAAAAAAATTTGAAAATTTTAAAAGGTATTTATGCCCACAATGTTTTAATTTAAACAAAAATACTAAAAACTCCTTTTTACAAACATAGCACTCGAAACATTGCTTTTTAGGAATGTAGCCAACTTTTTCATCCATTTTTAAATTTCTCAGATACCTCAAACTCATGTTTTTCATAATTCGTAATGATTTGATCATGACACTCATAAGTATGTCAGTTGTAGGTGTATAGATGTATGAATAGTAATGTTTAGGATGTCATGTATCTCTAATAAGAAAAATTGTTTACAAATATTTTAAGGAGACTGCCAAAGAAACATCACTTTTTTTGAAAGAGTCGAGCCAACAAATATGTTAGAAATCAAGTAAACATTTAAACTTCAAACTTTATCATGATTTTCATCCAGTAATATAGGTTTAGATGACCTTAAAATATTTATAAAAATCCGCTAAAAATAAATATTGTTGCATCATTTAAATGCAATGGTGACAATAAAGTGATGACCAATAATTTAATTCAGTTTAATAAAATCGAATTTAAGAGGAGCGACTGCATGCGTAACATTTTTATCACAATCCTATGTTTATCAAGGGGCATCAAATGCCAATCATGTCGGTTAGCCCCACTCATTTGCCCTCACCTAGTGACAATTCATAGTTTATTTCGGGCACAGCTTTGATGTTCCAAAAATTCCTGTAAATCAATTTAGCATTACTTTTTAGTACTCTAAATTTTCAAAAAATAAAAAATTTATTAATTTTCCAAATCTATTCAGCCTGTTATACCACACAATAAGATGGCATACAATGAGCAATTAAAATGTGAGTATTAAATATATAAATACATGAGAATTGAGCGATGTTTTTTTGTAAATCTTTCAAATAAATAAGCAAAAGGAAATTTTATTTTCTCAAAACAATACTGAATGCTCTGACCACCTGTGCGTAGTATAAAATTTTACTATTAAGACAAATTCATGAACACGTACATCCAATCGTAAACAATTGTTTCCCCATAATTAAAAAAAAAAATTCTGAAAATAAAATTCTGAAAATGAACCACTGCAATCAACATGATTTCAGACGACTTCAGAGCAATATCGTTGTTTATTTTAGTTTGACATCAAATGAAGCAGTTAAAAAGAAAAAAAGAGGAAATAATTAAATAATTCTTAGTAATTACAATACTAGCATGGGAGATGATACCCTCAGAACAAAGTGTTTACAATGACAGACACACACCCACTATCTCTCTCTTTCTAGACTAGCAGCTAACAATAAAGAATGAAAAGCTCGGACCAATGAAGAGGATCTCCTAAACTATGCCTACAGAAATTTGGTATGGGGGTTAAAGAAGAGAGGGTTAGGGATTTCTGCCACAGAAATAGCATAATTACAAAGGTCAAAAATTAGTGAAGGAAACAAAATAATCAAAAGGAAATTAGTGCAGATAGTACCAAAGATGTGTCAGAATCTTTCGGACGAGGCCCTGAGAGGGATGAGCTGTTTTCTCCTGGAGAGCTCAGAACTCCAATCAATGGGCCTTCAAATTTTTCTCTACTCCAGCCTTCAAATACAACTAGAATTATTACTTGGCTGAGGCCAACTTCTCTAGCAAGGCATGTATTTCATCCTGAGCATCCTTTGATATTGGAAAAGGTAAATAAACAGATTAGACAATAGAAAAGATTTAGGTTACAATATTCTGACCAAAATTTGTTTGGCATATATGACATTGCTGCTAGATTTGATTTGAGATGAGTGCAATATATATATATATATATATATATATCCAAAGCAAAACTTAAATTGCACTCATCTCCTGAACCAAATGAATTTGAAACTAATAGTGACAAGAAATGTAATCAATATCTGACCAATTTTTTTTTTCCTTGCATTATAAAATCACAATATTGAGAAGTTAGAGCAAAGGATTGGAGTTATTAGACAAGGTATTAGAAGCTGGACAGAGAGACAGAGAGAGAGTTCTGCATTCATTTCCCGTAGGAAAGCTAAGACAAAGCAATGAAGCAAAGCATAATCATCACCTTTAGCTTCTTCTTTAATGATGCCTCTTCTTCATCTCTCCTGGACCTTTCTTCCGAAAAAATGTCGAAAAATGTCGACTAAAGCTTCCTGTCCTGCTCCTTGTTTGCTTCTTCAAGCTTCTTCTCTTTCTCTTCCAGCTGGTACATAGACAACTATTCAGTTTGAAGTTACCTTAAAAATACAGATTCGGGTATAAATTTCATTCTGTAATAAAACTTAAGGTGCTAATCAGTCACCGCAAACATGCGTAACCAGTTCCTCACCAAACAGTTTTTAATTTACCATCAAAAGGAGAATTTTACAGTTTTGATGTAAAGAATTGCTTTCGTAGTAAAATTCTCCTTGTCATGGATGTAAACTAAAGTTCTAAGTGTGATGCTTTAAAAAAATTGGTGGTCTAGCATCTAATTAACTCCTCAATTCGGTTCTTCTCCTCTCTTAAACATACTCACCTTTTCAACTTTCTTTAAACATTTTCATGCTATTCTTAGATTTACTCAGTGTGAACGAGAAATTGCTAATCATCAACAAAATTGCAGATCGAGATGAAGGAATGGCAACAGGGAATTTCAAGGAGTGAACTATCTCATATCTAGTGGTTTTTAAGTTTCTTATTTTAAGTTTCTTCACCCCCATCTTCTAAATTTTTAGTTCACTTAATTGCTTCTAAAGTTTTTCATTATTGTCATTGCATTTTCAGTATACCACTTTTTTAATCCTAGTATTCTGAAAACCTTCATGACAGTTATGGCAATCAAACAGACTTAATAGTTCATAAGAAACTATTAAATCCGTTTGCACAATTACAATATATCTTCATGATAATAAAGAGTTTGAAGAAGTTATTTATTCATTCAATTAAAAAAAATATGTGAACATGCTAACATAAAATTCATTTTCTTCTGTTTATTGAATTCCATTTTTAACAAATTCATACATTTTGAAGTTCCACCACAATTAAGGGTTTTATGTTTCACTATATATTATATAAAATACCCATATGATGCACGATGCTAGTTAGTAATCAAATTATTAAATAACCTATCCAAAGGAAAAAAAAAATCATTTAAAAAATACCAAAGAAAGTTAATTCAACTCTTTCAACACAATCTCACTGTCCTTCATTTTTCAAGACTCACAATGCCCGCTAATCTCTCCCCCATCACCTACCAAACATTACTTTCCCATTATATCCTTTATTTTTCAAGGCCCCTCCAATCTCTCCCTCATCTCAAATCTTTCTTTAGGACACTGAGAAGAATTGGTTCAAATCAAGTTCCATATAGAAATTATGTTTTAGAGTTTTGATCAAAATTTGATCAGCAACAACCGCAAACAAAAGTTGGGCACTTTGTAACAGTGTCCTAAGAAGAAAAGCATGATGTGGTACTTTAGAATGAAACGCGGATTAGGAAGTGATAGCTAACATCTATACAAATAAAAAAGGAAGATTTACATACATATCACCCAATTATTATCTATTTACATATGCAACTTAATTTTTTACATACATACCACCTTTTTCAAGCATTGAAAAGTGTATTTCACTTTTTAAAAGTTAAAATGGTGGCATTTTTGATGTGATAAATAATATTTGGGTGGTATAAATGCAAGATGCAAAGTTTAGGTGTTAAATATGTAAATACATAGGAATTGGGTGTTATGTACCCTTACCTGGTCAACCAGTGTTTTGATTTTATTTCTTTCATGCTGCAGCTCAAGTAACATTGACTCCTCAATTGTCTTTAACCTGCAACACTCAGATAAAGAAGCAATTACCACCGTATGTTAAAAGTAAAAAAGATGCCTTCCTTTGCTTCAGTAAATACCTTTGCTTCAAAGCATAATTTTCATCTTCTAATTGCTTCATCTTTGACTGATTTACCACTGGAGCAGGAGCACCTTCCTTGGGCATTATTGACGCTGCCTGCAATTCATGTAGTGATGCAAGATGATGTTTTCGCAACATAAAGGTTGTAGTGTGCACGCTATAAATTTATAAAATGCTTTAATGATACTCAGAGTATGAATATAGAGAAAATGAAGCAAAAGATCAAATCAAGGGGAAGAACACAGATGAAATAAAAATGGAATATTTTCATACATACCACTCAATTCCTATGTATTTACATATCCAACAATTAAACTTCAATTTTTACATACAGACCACCTTACCTATGCATTAAAAAGATGTATTTCATTTTTTTGAAGTCAAATTAGTGGTACTTTTGATGTGATGTGAAAAACTTGGGTGGTATAAATATAAAATATAAAGTTTAGGTGTTACAGATTTAAGTACATAGGAATTGGGTGGTATGTATATAAATGCCCCGATCAAAAAGAAAAAAAAATGCTCCAATTCAAAGCATGTAGAAGTGGCAAGAGCAAACAGAACAAAAAAGAGGCATGGATTGGCAGAAGAAAAAAAAAAACTCAATATAATTTAGAGGGACAGAATTATGGGGTTAAAAGGAACTGAACAGACTGGATCTGTAAATAGGAAAATAAAATATTGGGGCATTTACAAGTATAGCACGCAATTCTGACATATTTACATATCTCACACACAAACTTTCATATTTACAGGCGGCACTCAATGAATCCAATCTTTAATATCACATAAAAAATCATGCTATTACCACTTTTTAAAAGTAAAATTATACCTTTTTGTTCATAGCTTTAAAGCACCAAAGTTATGTAGATATGGAATTTTAGGTGCAAGATATGTAAATACAGAACAATTGTGAGCTACATATGTAAATTTCCCTAAAATATTTGGCAAAAAACATTCCGAAGGTCACAAGCCCAATAATAACACATAAAAAAAATACAAATGGGAGCCAAAAAACTGATAATAGGGTGTAAAAAATTAATTATATACAAAAATTAAATACTTATTTCTTCAAAGTTGACTCCCTGATTTGCTACAACGAATTAAGAATCTGGACAATATTTGCATCTAAACAGTAAAAAAATACTCCATTAAACAAGCTGATTAGTGATTACCTTTGTCTGTGATCTGGTAGTGATGCCATCAATGCCTCCGCCACTATGCTTCAAAGAACCTGGAGATGTATTCAACAATTCTGGACAACTGCTCTCTTTATCAGATAATTTTCTTGCAGGGGAAACATTTGGAACAGATGAAATATTTTCACTCGCAGAACTGCTCTCATTATGTTCATAAGACAATTCATGGGGTCTTATATGATGAGAAGATCCTTTACTTTTGCCAAACTTCTCACTGCTGGTTCCATTTTCCTTTAAAGGTGTTGTGATTCCAGCCTTATGTAATTCAGTAGTTGAGATGTTTTTCCCCTTTTTGCTCACATTTGAAAGAAACTTGCCTGAGTACTGATATTTTTTTGAATCACTGGACGTTTTGTTGGCATACACAACCTTCTTGGAATGTGGGCGAGGAACTTCAGGAGAGCTATCTATTGCAAAGCGAACCGTAAAAAATTGAGAGAAATGGGGTACTAACTTAAGGAACCAAACAAAAGAAAAAGCCTGCCAAAAGAGCGGAGGAAAATTTACATACCACTCAATTCTTATGTATTTATGTATCCAGCAACTAAACTTCACGCACGGACGCACGCACGGACATTCGCACGGACGCACGCACGGATGCACGCACGCACGCACGCACGCACGGACGGAGACGGACGCACGCACGGACGGACGCACGGACGCACGCACGCACATCAACCTGAGGGTCTTACACCAAGGCCGTTACCAATGAGCCAGGGCTCGCGCACCACACACACACACACACACACACACATATATATATATTAAAGGAAATCGGTATTTGACAGAGGCCCAAATACGGCTTTCCCATGCGCTAGGCCTCATGTACCACCTCCTTAAGTTCAACTGTGCTAGAGGGGATTCGAACCCCCGACCTAAGAGGTCTTATACTGTGGATGCCAACCAACAAGCCGGAATACGCCACATACATAAGAATAAAATAGCGGTATTTTTTTATGGAATATGAAAGATTTAGGTGGAATAAATGTAAAAAAAAAGTGTTAGATATACAAATACATAAGAATTGGATGGTATGTTTGTAAATGCCGCAATAATGAAGTACTCCACAAAAGCTACAATGAAATAAATTAGAAAGTCTTTTTTTTAAATATTTACACCTCTACCACTCAATCCTATGTATTTACATATCTAACACCTAAACTTCAATTTTTACATATATACCACCTTGCCTATGCATGAAAAGGTATAAAAGGTATACTTCAATTTTTAAAAATTAAAATAGTGGTATTTATGATGTGATATGAATGATTTGGGCAGTATAAATGTAAAAAGTAGAATTTAGGAGTTAAAAATGTAAATTCATAGGAATTGGCTGGTATGCATTTAAATGCCCCACTTTTTTTTCATATTTGTATAGATACAACTGCAATACATTTTCATACCATTGTCATCCGAGTCAACATTTCTTTTACTGGTTCTAGGAGCATAGCCGACTTTATGACAGTTGGTTGACCTGAATCCAAATTAAGGAAAAAAATTCAACAGAATTAATATTCACAGTAACTTATAAAATGTAAAATACATTATAATAACAAACCAGTAATTTTTCTGCATCAGAATCAAACGTGATTCAAGTCTTGAAAGAACAGTAGTGCGTTCAAAGCCCTGCTTATCATGAGCCGGCTCCACAAAATTGGCCTCCAAAACACCTACGGATTATCATCATCTCTGAAGCTTGACGCAGAATAGTAGTGAAAAAGAAAAAAAAAAGAAAAAAAAGTATATAAAAAAAAGTACCTATCACACCTCGGCCGTCACTACCAGCAGCATTCCATACTCTCCAAAAAGGCTTTTTAAGAACAAGAGGAGACCGGTAAGGCACTAATTATAAGTGCAGAAAGGTAGGGAGAGATTTCACTGTGGAAGGGACATCTGTACCTTTATCAGCCTATTTTTGTGGTAGACATTAAATCCTTGAACATCAATGTGATGCTTTGCATCTTTTACAAAACCAATTGTCACAACAGCAACGAGCTAAAGCATTCATGCAAAAAAGAGACAAATTTTAGATCAATAGGAATACTAAGAGTCGTTTTAATATAGGCAAAGAAAATAAAACTTCTACTGTCTCACATTTGGATCCTTAGGAACCCTGTCAGTGCCAGGATTTGGACGGTAAGTGACTTCCTGTTTTAGCATCATGTCATTCACAATGTTGTGGTGCTCAATCTCCTCGCCACGCAGAATCATTCTAAAACCACTTGGTAGCCTGAGGTAAAGAATTGAGGCATAACTCTACACGTTAAAAAGAAAAACAAAAAAATTAGAAAAAGAATGAAAATATAGCAAAATTAAACACAAATCATGCAATTTGAATAAGTTCAGAAGTCAAGCATTGGTGACTTTTATCTAATTAAGAGAATATGAAAGAAACGCATAGGAAACACGGAAAATTTTGAAACAAGACATTATAAAACAACATAGGAAAACGTCCAATTTCAACGCTATTGATGTAATAAGGTAATGATGAGAAATTGCTTAAAAGAAAATGGTGAAATCAGTTGTTCATAGATATTTCTATCTGAATGCTACAACGGATCAAGACTTGATTTAATTAGTATAAACCATTATCTTTGGTTGAGGATCATCATGGCTTACTAAATTTGGAAAATATTTTATCTCATTGCATTCATTTTGATAATAAACTCAAATTTAGAATATAACTTTAAAGAAATATCATTATATCATGGAGCTTTAGATTGGATTCACCTTTAAAAAAGGCCTTGTGAAGACGTCTCTTCTTGATTATGATTGCTCAAATCAATTTCAAAAATAGGAGGATTGAAGACAAAAAGCAGGAGAAAGCACAAATTTTCTAATAGATTAACGTCAGCGCTACACTACTAAAATAAACTTCCTATTATTTAAGTAAAAACAAAAATTCCAAGATTACTCTCTTAATCTTAGCTAGAAATAATTAATTAGACGTGTTGATGACTCCAATTTCTTTTGTTAAAACTTGTCATTTCTATTATATCGTAAATGTTTAAGCAGCAAAATAAAAAACAATTAAGTGTGATGTACTAAAGGGTCAAATATGATTGCTTGAATGAAGTGAAGTTGGTTCCAGAATTTGAATTTCTAATACCTCAATCTGAAACTACAATTGATTAGGCTGTTTCAACTAGAGAAGAAGGCTAGAGGATGAGAAGCTTCAAGAACAATGACTTGATATATTTTGCAAAAATGAGCAAATAAAAGGAATAAAAATAAGGAATAATGATTCGAAACACATAATTAGTAATGTTCCATTTCAACATCTAATTCGATCTTACCTTCTGTGTTTGTGTCAATTGGATTTTGAGTATAATATCAACGATATGATTATGGACATTGAAACTTATTTAAATTCTCTTCTTATAACTAATATTTAAATTATATTTTTATATTAATAAATTATTAAAACATGCACTGATGCTACTTACACCCCCCCTCCTGGCAAGTAAAATGGCTCACTTTATGCTTCTGTCTTTTAAAACATTGATTACACCCAAGATGATTCCAATTAGACTAAGCTAATAGGATCCAAGTAACAAGGGCAAGCTATCTAGATCAAATTTTGTAGAAAATGGGTTTGGAGGGAAATAATTCTCTTCTTGATTATATTATTCACATGTAGGGTACATAAATATAGGGAAACAATGTCTCCAATTTTACAAACTTACCAAATATATCTAACCTAATTTAGGAAAGGAAATAATTCTGAAATAAAAAATAAAATAACATAAAATAGGAAGGGAGTAAACAAATCAAAGATTTCCTAAGTTGTCCCAATCAAATCTTTTACAAGATTTTCACGCTCCACCTCAAGCTGGATCGCAGATATTGTAGAGACCAAGCTTAATATTGAGCTCTAAGAAGGTGCTTAAAAAAAGAGCTTTGGTGAAGACAACAACTTGTTGGTGCGTCAGGATGTAACTTAGCTACATAATTATCCATAACCATGAGTTTTCTGAGAAACCTAAGAATTCGAAATACCATTTCGAAATGCTCTTCATTTGAGATGTACAAGTGTTGGCTCACAATACTGACATAGAGTGCAATATATGGTCTCATATTTGACAGGTAAATGAGTTTTCCTACCAATATTTGACATCTTACTTATCCACAAATAAGATTTTTCCTCCCCATTTGACTTGTGGGATCCATTGGAGTATCAACATGCTTACATCCAATCATCCATATTTCTTTTAGTAGATTTAGGATGTATTTCCTCTAAGATATAACGATGACTTTCTTGGACCTTGTTACCTCCATGCCTAAAAATCTCTCATGATTCCTAGGTCCTTGATTTCAAACTTCTTGTCAAGCATTTTAATCTTAGGAATCTCTCTTTCTTCATTAATCGTAATAATTATATCATCCACATATACAATCAGTGCAGCAATCTTACCTTCCCAAGAGTGTATTACAAATAGAATATGATCAACTTGACTTTGAAAATACTCGTTAGATCTCATAATTTTAGCAGACGTTTTAAATCACACCCTCGGTGATTGCTTAATCTCATAAAGAGACATCTGGAGTTTGCATATTAGGTGTTTGTTGAAATTATTCTCAAGTCCTAATGGTATCTCCATATACGCTTCTTCTTCTAGATCCCCATTCAATAAAGCACTTTTATATTAAGTTGATGTAATCCCAGTTCTTTGTTCATTGTTACTGAAAGAAGAACTCTGATAGTTTTAAATTTAACAACTGATGCGAAGGTCTCATGATAGTCGATCACATAAACTTGAGTAAGCTTTTGACTTTGAATCTCTTAATACCCCCCATCAACTTTTTAATTGATCTTGAACACCTATTTGCACCCAATCGTCTTCGTATCACGAGGAAGTTTAGTAAGAATCCATGTACCATTAAGATTTAGTACTTGTATTTCTTCTTCAATTGCTTTCCACCATTTTGGATTTTCAAGAACTCATGAATAGATTTAGGACTCTGCAAACTACCAATGTTAGAAACAAATGCTTTATAGGATGAGGACAACTTCTCTTAAATTACATACTCTTGAAATGGATATAAAATGCAACTTTCCACGTCACCAGCATCAAAAGAGAATGGGGATAGCTCATAAGTACTGAACTCCTCTTTACTCAAAATTTTAGGTGAATGTGGACCCAATTTTTTATTTGAACAGTTCTGCCCTTGCAGGTTGTCTTCCACCTGCTAAAGATTTTTCTTCCTCCTTGTGTACACACAGTTAATTGTTCAGGACGTTACGTTGAGTTGATTGCGTTCGTTGGGCATCCTCAACCATAATAGGATGGATAGGTGAAGTAGGTGATGAGGCCATGTAGGTGTCATCGAGTGTATCCAAAAATTAATGTTTATTTGCATTATCTCCCTAAACATCAGATTTGGGTAATACGATTGATTTTCAAGAAAAACTGCATTCATGAAGTTGCAGTATTTTCTAATAACAAGAGACTAGCATGCATACCACTTTTTGTTGGTGACATACAAAATAAAAATACACTTGATAGATCTAGGATCAAGTTAAGAGTGATTTTGGGAATGGAAGTAAAAAAAAAAAAAAACCCACCCAAAGATTTTAAGGGGTATAGTAGAAGAAAAAGCTCTGATTTCAGGATAGATGCCATCAAAACATGAAGAGGTGTTGTGAAGTTAAGTACCAAGCTATGCATTTGATTGATAAGATATGTTGCAATAAGAATTGCTTCGTCGAAAAATATTTTGGAACTTTTTGTGACATCATAATAGAGAGGGATACCTCAAGGAGATGTGATACCAGTTTTTAACCCAAACCACGATTTAAAGACACGATTTTACTAACGAATTAAACAATGTTACAATGAAGACTTAAAAGAAGTAAAAAAAAACACACAAAGCTAAAGCGTAAAATAAAGATTCGGCAAAAGGAGACACAACAAGCTGACAAGGAGAAAGTCCGAAGAGGTGGTGCTAGATCGATGGTTGCAGTGAAGACCGGAGAGATGTCGAACGGTTGTGGAAGAAGTAGGGCAGCAAGTCAGCGATCGTCAAGGCGTCGAACCACAGCTGGAAGGAGCAATCGGGGTTGCGTTAGGGAGGGGCTAGAAGGGGCAGCGAACGATACAATCTACAGGGAAGCTACAGGAAAGCATCATGATGGTTGCGGTTGTTGCAGGGTGCAGGAACAACTACGGAAAGCGAAAAAAAAAGCACAATTTCGTGCAGCTTTCCGTTATTTTTTTTCAAACAAAAGTAGGGAACAATACAGTTGCTAGAACTGTTGAACAGCAACAGGGAAGGTGTTGGTTCGGCTGGCAGTAGCAGGATAGCTGCAGAAAATTTCGAACAAAAGCGAAAAATGAAGATGGCAGCAAGGTCGAGTGGTTTGTGACTACTGGAAGTGTGGAACAACAACGAGAAGAGTGGAAGGATGGATAAATATCTTAACGGAATCGAGCTACAGCCGGAGCACTACCCTGACCAGTGGAGAGCATCAACACCTTAGACGAGGGACGGTTAGAGCATTATCTCAACGTCGGATACAACTCTCGAAGGAAAAATACCAAGGCAAAAACCTGAATTCAGACATAAAAAACAAGCACCTAACTCTAAGCACATCATCCTCTATTTATAATAAGGATGGAACTTTGTTTTAGGCAATACTAAAAATAAAAAAAAGAATAAAATGGGATTTTAGATTTTAAAAAAGGCTAATTAAAATAAAAAAGGAGAATAAAATCAAATTTTAGATTTTAGAAAAGGGTTTTAAAATAAGAAGAAAGAATAAAATCAAATCTCAAAATTTAAGAAAGAGGAATAAAAATATTCAAAAATCGTGATTTGAAAAGACTTATATTAAGAAGGTGATAAGAAAGAAAGAGGGGAATGAGAGATAAGGGAAAGGGAGGAGCGGCAATTCCCTCCATTTGAGGGCAGATCGATCCTCCATAGCCCCCGCGTCAATCTCCAGGAGTTGGGGGAGCTTTGACGTTATAGGTTCAAGCTTCCGTGTAATTTTCAGCCACCCCTGGATCCCACTAGCAGCCATAAGTAGCCCTGTGTTGGCAAACTATGCCATCTAGTATCGCTAGCTTTCTCCTAATCTCATCCTTCTCACGAATATGATTTGAACTTGTCACAAAGCTTTTTTCACCACAAACCAAACAAGTCCAACATCCATCAAGTTCCCAAAGAATTTCCATCTAGTTGACACCTCAAAAAAGTTCAGATTTAGTTTATTTGTTACAACATCAAGCGCTACAGAAAATGGCATGCTCCTA